ATGTGATTAAAAGACATTTGAACTCTCCGTCATGCAAGACAGGCATGCTCATCGGAAAAATCCTAGAGGTTGTTTCAAGGCTTACCAAACAGATGAAACAAGGAGTAACACCTTGAATAAACATCTTGTTGTCTAGGAGGGGAGAGAATCTATGGGTTATAGGTATAGGATCTTTTCCCCACCTCATTATATAGGCCTTGAACTTAAGAACTGGAACTGACCTTTAGGATCACTCCTCTCGTTTTATGGATGAGAAAACACAGTCTCAGAGATGTTTCCTGACTTACCCAAGGCCACACAGCTTGCCAGTGGTGAGACCATATTGAAGACAAGGCTTCTTCTTGTTAATGACGTGGCAAGGTGACAACCGTCTTTCTTTTTAAGCAGGAGAAAGAGCTGCTTCTTTACCTTGCTGCTAATAATGAAATGAAAGCAATGCCCTGGAAATAGAAGCAGGTTGGGATTATGCTGTGGATAAAGGATAAATTATAGAGGAAATAAAGGCTCTTATTTTCAGGGAAAATGAGACCGACTGCTCTTCTCCATGGGACCCTCAGGGATATACAAGAAATAGATGTCTTCTAATCCTCCTACCCCTTCTCTTTCACAGGGCATTTTAAAGTCACAAGGGAACAGAAGTCTAGTTCAGTGGGTTTCCAGCTGTGCTCCCCAAAGCCCAGCAGAGTTGACAAGGGAACTAAGGGGCCCAGAATATACACCCCTTCTCACCGCCCTACCTCCTGCACCCAAGAGAGCTCCACTTCTTTCTACCTGCTTTGGACATCGGAGTTCTGGGTAGAGTTTTGTTCGAAGAGAAAACAAACGCTTCTAAGAAGAAGTTTGAAAACTCCACACTTGATTTAATCCACCCATTGAATTATAGTGGAGGAAGCTGAGACCGAGGAAGGTCAGCAAGTGAAGAATCCACTGCCCTCTTCTTGCTACTCTGGGACCCCCCCCCCCCCCCCCCCCCCCGCCGCCGCCGCCGCTTCCCTTTCTAGCAACTCGGTCCCGTCATCCCAGGCCTACCTCTGACAACAACCTGACTCTCCAGTCCCACATTCAGCCAGTCCTAAACTTCCCTGTTTGGGCCAAGGACATTTTCCTTCCTTTCAGCTAAGCCCAGTGATGGGACTGTTGTTTTGCTGAGGGACTGCCAGCAGGCTGTTGCCCAGCGTCACCTGGTGCCCTCGCCTGGCCGGGAGTAAGCCATTGTCATTCTAATTATTTAAAAGTATTCACAGCAGTCAGGGCTTCCTTTCAGTGAATGTTAGTGTCAAGTGCAGGCCATACAGTGTTCCTGTAAAACAACTCCGGTTGAATTTCCTTAGAAGGCAGACCAGAGTTTTAGGTTTTCTTTTACTTCTTCTCATTACTTCCTGAAAATCAGCTATTACGAAGGAACTGGTAGTTTGTCTTCAGCTGGGTTCTGTAGAAGGGTGAGTTCCTTCTGAAGCTGGCAAAGAGCCTCAGAATTGTGAGTGGGTGGATACAAAATTGCTTTACTTGATCCAGAGCCGGGTTACCTCTAGGCCACATCAGATGGTGCTTAGGCCTCCAGCAAAACGAGGGCACTTGAGGAGGAGGGAAAAAAAAAAAAAGAGAGAGAGAGAACGATATAAATGTCAGAAATAATCTGACATTGACCATGTCCAATAAAAACACCTAAATACTCATCGTGGGGGGGAAAAAATCAGACCTTCTTGACTTTAGGACTTATTATTCCCTTTCTTTCCAATTAGGTCTAGAGGTGTCACTTTAATCCCTATATTCTTGGGCGTCTGCGGTCTATATCTGGCCTGAGCTGGCTCATCCCTCAGGCTGCTCTCCCAGATGTAGGAGAAAACCAGCTCTGAACAGCCCCGGGGCAGGGTGTGCCTGCTTCTCTTTGGGAAATGAATTTGCCCCAGGTGAAAGGTATTCACAAAATAGCTGGAGAAAGAAGTCCCTTGTCAACTCACCGAACAGGGTCAGTAGCTCCAACTTCCACAGGGTCAACTTCCCTTCTGTATGTGGAGATTGGCCTAAAGGGGTTTGCCCTTGAGTTCAACTCTCTTTTGGCTGGGCTGGACTCCTCTGACACAGGACAGAGGGCATTTATGCTGTTCCTTCTGGGACACAAGCCAGGCCGCCAGAGTAATGGATGGTAGAGCTCTTCAGAAGAAAGTCTAGTTCATTTCTCCTGGGGGCATGTTTGTGTTCAAGAGACGAAGGGTCCCCAAACCTGGAACTGAAACCTCAATGATCAAGAAGAGGTGTAGAAGGATGAAGTCTGTTTTCTTTACAAGTTTTACTGATATCTTTCCAGGATTCAGTCCGCTCCAAGAAAAATAGAGGCAGAAACTGTAGTATTTATCTTGGTGGCCATGTGTCTGTGCGAATGATGTGTGATATTTTACGAGTGGGTGTGAAAGTGTGTGCGGGGCTGAAGTGTGACTTTCTAATATGCGTATGTATCCGACGTCTGCTTGGTATCTATGTGAGTGTGTGCTTCTGAGTGTGAGTGCCATCCAAACAAGAAGGTGAATTTATACATGCTTTGGTATTGAAGGGGTTAACTACACCAAAGCAAAGGCAGAGGTTCTAATGAGTTTTCAAAAATTTTAATAAAGTGCCTTAATTTTCTTCAGTTAAAGAAAGGACAGAAAAAAGAAATGAGTTGCTCTTTTTTCTTTCCGTTAAATTTTGACCATGGAAAATACAGACTATCAGCTATGGATTATATATAATTTCAATTTTTTTTGAGTGGGGAAGTGATTTCTCTTGGTGTGGATGAGAAATGAAACCTTCCTATGAGGAAGTTTCCTGTCTTTATTGCTGATTGTGTGTGCCTGGTCTGATTCCTAAAAGCTTGAGCATGGTGGGGGACGGAGTTGAGGAGAAGTTCTCCTTTTGGGAGTGGCTGGAGAGAAGAAGAGCAGGGGTGGGAGAAGGAGGAAGAGAGCGTGGATGATGTAGAAACCATCACAATTATTGAACAGGAGCTCTGCTCAGGGTCCCTCTGGTGAGTTCCAAGGCGAACAGTGTGGTTTGGGGGTGAGTGTGAGTCAGGGCTGCAATTTTCAGCCAAAGAGCGGGCAGAAAATCCCCTCCCCTGCTAGCCTGGTAAGAGCCGCTGGTGAGCTAAGTCTCCACACCTCTGCTTTCTCAGAGGGTCCTTCTCAGCCCGATCGCATATGCCTGAGCCAGTACCAGCGGGCCACAGTTTGACTTGCTGGAAGGTGCTGGGCGCCCGGTATGGCAGTGGCGTGGGCAAGCCTGCGGGGATTGGCTGCGGAGGGATGGGCGGTCCCGGGCCTCCGCAGGCCTCCTCTCTGTCTGCGGGAGGGCTGGGCCCATTGTCCTGCTGGACTGGGGAGGGTGCAGGGTCATTAGTTAGAGGATGATGTGGGCTCTGCTAGCCAGAGGAAATGGCCTGCTTTTGTTTTCCACCCAGTAGGAAATGGAACCTGAATCCATTAGATTCTGGGCAGTTCAACACGGCACAGTTTGAGCTCTTGGAGGCACGATGCCTAAAAGGCTACTTGTGTGGATTTGTGTGTCCCAACCACCATTGCGCGGCATGCCCATCTTTTATGCATTTAAAGCCTGTCAGGCTGGTAATCTAAAGCAGAGGTCTGGAAGGCAGTAATGCCAACAGACATGGGGAATAGTAAAGTGCACCTGTAGAGTTAAAAAATGCATGACCCTTTCCCTCAAAGAGCGAACACAGGAGAAAGACCCCGTCCTGTAGGGTGGCTGCTGAGCCATAATACATAATTCACGGGCCCATGCTGCTCCATGCAGATGGCGATATTAAATCGTGATTGATGCTAAGAGAGGCGCACATCTCAGGAAGGTCTCCGGGAGGCTTCTGAATATTTCCAGGTCTCTCGTGCCTTCCCGTCCTCTGTTCTGCTGCGATATTAAGCAAAACCCCCCCATTTCCCAGGAACCCCTCCTGGGGATTACAGAACTTCGCTCCCAAATATATGAGATTCTTCAAATGTCATCACCCACCTTTTCTGCCTTTGAAGTCGCCCCCTTGCCTCCTGGCCCACAGGAAGCTGTTTACCTCCAGCCAGGCCCTGCTGGGAAGGGGGGGGCAACCACCCCCCCTGCAGTAGCCTTTCAAATGGCCGCGTCCTGGTTGCCGCTGGACAAAGCAGCAGCACACTCTGGTGGTGGTGACGAGGCAGGAGGGACGGCGGGCAGAAAGCAAGGGGAAAAAAACACAAAGCACTTTTGTCGAAGCTCTGAGGTCAGAGCCAGTGAATTCTCCAATGCAGATTTTTTCCACTCGGTGTATAATGAAATAATAAATCAAATTTGTGGTGTATGTGGAATTAAATGTTTGGGGTTTTTGCTTTTTCTTTCTTAAAAAAAAAAGAAAGAAAGAAAGAAAGAAAGAAGAAACAGCAGCTAAAATCACCCTCCAGGGCCTATTCTGGCCCAAAGCTGAAAATGTTTCCTCCACATCACATGTAATTGTTACCAGGCTCGTTTGTGGGTCGGCACCACAAAACCACTATTGTCAGTTCCCGGAGCCCTTACTTCTGGCGGCCTGGGCTGGGCTGGGAGACACCCAATGAAATGAAGGATTTATGAGATAAAGATAGAGATGAGGGGTTCGAACAAGAAGATGGGCCAAGGAGAGGAGACGAGAAAAGGCAGGGGGCATGTTACGTTTGCCGCTCTCTTGTTTCTTTCATCTCAGGCCGTGTAATTGGGAATGTTTATGATCATTTTCTGGAATGTTTTGATTTGGGGAGTGTGTGTGATTGTGCACGTGTGTGTGTGTGTGTGTGTGTGTGTGTGTTCAGTTGGGTGAGTGGGGGGGGATGAGCTGAAATAATCTCTTCCAGTGAATGAGTAAGTAGGTTAGTCTTCTGGACTGCCATAAAAGGTCTGTAAAACAGTTTTAATCAGCCACTGGTAGGGAAGAGAAGCAGGGAGAGGGGGGAAAAAAAAGAGACTGTAGCATGTTTGAAGTTCTTTGGGTTCTTTGCCTTCTCTTTCAGACTCACCCTGTGGAGGTCGTTTGAATTCCAAAGATGCTGGCTATATCACCTCCCCAGGTTACCCCCAGGATTACCCATCCCACCAGAACTGCGAGTGGATTGTTTACGCCCCCGAACCCAACCAGAAGATTGTCCTCAACTTCAACCCTCACTTCGAAATTGAGAAGCATGACTGCAAGTAAGCGCCTGATTGTACATCCGTGGGACACACACTCCTACCCGCTGCCACCTAATGGCAGCACCCCTAACCCACCTGCTGGACAGTGGCCCCCAGAGGGAAACCTCAAGATGACATTCTCTTTTGGGGGAAATAAAGGCCTAGGGGATCCCATAGTATGGAGGAAAAGAGCCTTCTTGAGTGAAGAGTGTAGAGAATAGCGCCCTATCTTCAAAGCGGGCGGTGGAGGAGAATTCCATCTAGGGGCTGGGGGTGGACTGCAATATACCAGCTCTTGACTTTGGAATTTCCTTTCCCCCTGGAGATCTCCCCATCTCCACTGCCGCCACCACATGTAGAAACCCCACCAGCTTCCTTAATGAACTAGTAGCCAGATCCCCACGTGGAGACTTCCTCTGCATCCAGCTCTAGAGGATCAGCCTGTTATTTTATGAAGCAGCAGCTGGTTTCCTTACAGAAAGGGAGTTAAAAATCTGAGTCTACACTGGTAGGTCTAAGATTCGCATTGGTTCTTGTTACCTGTGCTGTCTCAAAGCTGATGTTACAGATTTATTTCACCGACACCCTTCTAACTGCTTTACAAATATCACTCTATCCAGCCCTCACAGTGGCCCTGGGAAGTCGGTGCTATCAGGACTAACATTTTGCAGATGAGAAAACCAAAGCCCAGAGAGTTTGTCAGTCACCCGAGGAGGCTCAGCCGGTCTCATAACATCAGTCCTGCCACCTTGGAAATGTGCAGCTTAGGAGATACCAAGTGGGCATTTAGACAGCCATGAGTGCTTTAGAAATGCCTTCTTGACACCAAAGTCCCTTAAATTAAGGTGAAGGAGCAGGAAGCTTTGTAACGTCAAGAATGTGAATGTGCTTTGTACCATCTAGTGGACTCTATCTGAAAGTCTTTGGTCATTGAAACAATAGTGCAAATTTTCTGTGCAGAAAAGAATGTACCAATGATCATGTCCTGCTCCAAATGTGCCCCTATGATGTGCCTGCCACTGGGTGTTCAGTGTCCCCTTATGATTCCTAAAGAGTCTGGACATTTCTTGTGACCAAGGCGTTGCAAGTACTGAAAAATTAATAAAGGGGCCAGCTGGTGAGAAAGGTGCAAGGGAGCAGGCCTACCTCCGGGCCAGCGCATCCCCGTGGAGGAGACAAGGCCCCCCTTGAACCAGGGCTAGACTGTGAGGCGGTGAATTGATGTCATTGTTATCCTCCTAGGACTACTTCACACCTACATAATGGTTTTCTCCTAGCAAGAGGTAGTCTGCACTGAAAATCAGAGGGTTTCTGGGATGGCTGCCTCATGTGACGAAGAGTCATAAGACGGATTTTCTAATCCCAGATCTACTCTTGACTCAGTGGATGACATAGGGTAACTCACCAGTTCCTCTTTGTCTGAGTTAAATGCACAGCCTGATATACTCGTACAGCATCTCAGGTCTGCTGAGTCCCTGCAGTGGACTTTAGCGAGAGTTTCTGTTAGAAAAGCTCCTATATTGGATGTTTTTGCTCCCAGTGCCTTTGGCTGGGCTGTAGAAGGTTGGCACAGACAGAAGCGTAATGCACAGAGACCTTGTGTCTGAGCTCAGAGAAATTTTGACTAAGCACCTCTGTCGACTGAGGGCCAGATTCTGTTATGCTTATGCCAGCAAATCTCCCAGGGAAATTGCTAAGAGGTCATCTTATGTATATTCATATTGGCAAGTAGAGGAAGGCATGGCTTTTGGAAGGAAAGGCATGGCTTTTGGAAGGAAAAACTCAGGGAGCCATGTTGGGAAGTATGCAAGGCCAGAAAAACATGCTCCTGCCCTGTTTGGGGCCACTGGGGCCGCCTTCCCCCACAGGACTCAGCCCCGGGGGTGGAAAGAACTCAGGTTGCTGGAGTCTCTGGCAGCAAAAGGGGACAAGGATGTTGCCTCTTGCTGGACTTGAAGCAGACAAGTTACAGGTTATCTTCTGGCTTATCATCCTTACTAAGTAGCTTCCTGTTTTTCTCCCCACTCCCCCATGGATGCTTCTAGCTTGAACTGAAAAAATCAGGAAGGTCAGAAAAAAAAATCTTTCTGGGGTCTCTTTTCCCCAGTGCCAAGCTGTCAGAAAGGCTCGGCTGGGGTCAAGCCTCCACTACTTAACCTCGTCCTTAATTCTCCCTCCCCCCCCCCATTTCCCCTCCATTCCCCATTTCTCTCTCATTCTTGTTGATTTTTGTATTTAGAAAGACACATCCGGTTCTCTCAATCTCTCACCCTGCAAGGTATTTTTAACATTCTTCCCCGGCCATTTGCATTCAGAATAAATGAGCTTCTCCTCCCCGACTGCCTTGTTCCACTAGCTGGTGAGAGGAATAATTAACCTAATTGAAGGGTTCGAAGTTCTGTCTGGTTCCTCCTCTCTCCCACTCTGTCCAAGGGAGCTCCTGGTTTTGGAAAGCACTTACTACCAAAGGAAATGAGACTCCTTTCTCTTTTCATTTCCGGTGCATGTTTTGAATTGGCCTTGACTCTCCAGGCCCATAGCGTGGATGGACGCTTACCAAGAGAATGCCGCCTGCACTGTCCTCCCCTTGACAGGGCATAGCAGCAGCACCCCTGCAAAAAGGAAAGTGAGTAAGAGCAGCAGGAAGAAGCCAGCCCCACTGCGGAGGAAGGGCCGCGGTCAACACCTCTCCGTCCTCCCATGTGCAGGAGTAACTGCAGAGGTTGCCCCGAGATCCAGGAGCAGGCTTGGCCTGGTGGCCCCTGGGCCCTTGGCTCTCTGTGCCTTGAAATCCACAACCCAAGGGTTGAGCCCGTTGAAGAATAAGCCCCCGACAGACTTTTTCCCTTTAACGGCCGCTTGTTAATTTTGCTTGGAAACTTTCACTCACAGCCCCAGCTTTGCCTGAGTCAGCCGTCTCAGGCCACTACCATCTGTGGGGAGCTCTCCGACTCCTCCCTCGGGCTGTGAGCAGGAATCCAAACCCCCAGCACCCACAGGCTGCTCTGTGGGCAGAAACCAGAGGCCCCCGTGGCCTGGCCACGCAGACGTGGCTGAGGGACAAAGGGCAGGACTCAGGGCCCTCTGAGTGAACAGGGAGAAGCCACTCACTCCCTGTGGTGAGGAACAGGGTACTGCTGCTTTTCACCTGAGTCATCCGGCAGTAGGCGGGACACTAGGGCTTTAGAAACATATGTACACAGACTTGAATCTTTTTCCATTTCTGAAATCTAAGATATATGCGTTTTTTAAGAACACCCACCTGCATATGATACACAGCTTATTCATGAGTCCTCAGACCGGCATGGCATCCCTCTGCATCCCAGAGGCCCAAGTAAAACCAAAACCAAGAGCCTGGGCACTGTTAAGAATTGGTCATTTCCAGATGGGTGTGTTGGAAAACGTGCTTCACAATGTGCACAAACCACTAGGAAGACCTAAAAGAACATTTCTTGGGCTAAAGAACCCACATGAAGTTTATAGGAATGATTTTATGCATGCATTCAGTGCGGCTTCACTCATTTACCATGGGAGAACCGCGCTCCATCCAAGGGAAACATTTAGATACTCAAACCTACTCCTATTCGGAGTTCCAAAGGTCTTTTTTGAAAGGATTTATGATAAAGAACATTCTAAATCCCATGCCACACTTCCCTGTCTTCTTAAACAAAACCAATAGTAAGGAGAGTCAACTTTTCCTTGATGATTCAGGCCTCTAATTTTAAACTTCACTTTTTGAGACGGAGGCCGAGTGATGTCCAGTTCGGATCAGGGAGGTTGAGAGTTGAGTTTTTGTTGACCTTTTAAACTTTCCAGGCCTCAGTTTCCTTGCCTGCAACACTGATAAGTACTTTGCAAGATTGCCAGGTCTTGTCTATGTGGATACACAATGAATTAGCAACTGCATTAGCATCTTTGTCCTTTGTCACGGGAAATTTTGAGACTTTTTTCTATCAATACTCTTGCTGTCACTTCCTGTTAGGTGTATGCCTGCTTCCTGGAGCCTTCCTCTTCTGACTTGTTTTACTCTTTTATTGTGTTGTACAGATTTTGCTTCTGGAGGTCTTATTGTCCATTGGGAAGTGCTGGTTCTGGGGTCTCGGCTCTGCCCTAAGCCAGTGTAACCCCAGGGCCAGCATGTCTGCTCGGCTTCAGTCGGCCAAGCTCATGGCCGAGCAGGCTCTGGGACACACCCTCAGGGACAGAGTGTGAAGAGCATCAGTGCACGGAGTCCCCGGCATCAGTTGAGGTGCTCAAGGTCTTTTCTTCTGAAACCATCCCCCCAAAGCCCACCCATGTTCTAGATATTGGAGGTTTAGGGATATTTGGCCTCGAGCTAAGTGTCCTGGATAAACAAGGTACTTTTCTTCTGAAACCATCCCCCCAAAGCCCACCCATGTTCTAGATATTGGAGGTTTAGGGATATTTGGCCTCTAGCTGTGTCCTGGATGAACAAGGTGCTCTTGTATTTATGGCCAGAGGAGCTCTCTGAGGTTTAGGGATATTTGGCCTCGAGCTGTGTCCTGGGTGAACAAGGTGCTCTTGTATTTATGGCCAGAGGAGCTCTCTAAATAGTAGTTGTGTCTATTTCTCCCAAAGTAGGGGTAATATCTTAGAGAGCTAGCAGCTTCCCAGGTTGATAAACTGACTCCAGTCAACATAGGGAACAGACCAGACCTCAATAATCTAGCCTCCCCCCACCCAGTCAATAGTGATTTCCTATGCTCAGTGAGCACCCTCCATTCCAATCAGACAGCCAAAGACAGCCTTATATCTGCATGAGACCCTGTGAGTGCCCAGTGCTTGGACCGGCCTCCCTCTCCCCTCCATAGGGACCAGCTGAACACTCCCCTCCTCCTCCCCTCTGTTTCCTTGATTCTTCCAGTTATGGGTCCCAATGCCGAACTCCCAGAGCATTGTGTATTGCCTTGATTTGCTGGCTTGCCTTTAGTTCATGGGTGGTCAAGGTTGTATTCTGAGCATGTAAATCCTCTAAGGGCATGGACTACATATTTCATTTC